CAAATCATCCCATCCCATCCCATCCCATCCCATCCCATCCCATCCCATCCCATCCCATCTCATCCCTCTGCTTGCCCTGGGAGGAGAGGGACAGAAAATACCCAGTGGCTTGTATTTTCAAGGAAAAGGTAGCAGGAAGGCATCCGTTTTTTGAGGGGGTCCCCCTTCCACATCCCAGTGTTTATGCAGGAGGGAGGTGCTTGCTGAACCTCTGCTCTTGGCACCCTCCAGTCCCAGCCCCACTGGCTGCACTCACGCTCCGGCGTTCACTTTGATGGATGCCACCTCCTTGTTGCCCCAGCCCATGGCCTGCAGCGAGGGATAGTCGTCACTCAGCTCAAACTTGTGACCCTGGAAGTTCTCAGCCTCGTAGAGGATGACTTTGCTGTCATTGTGGTTCTACAGAGAGACAGACCTGGAGGTCAGCAGGAATGGGTTGGCTTGCCCAGGGATAGGGGATGTGGCATCAGTGTGACCAAGGCACTTTGGGACCGTGACCAGCTTTGGTGCAATGCCTGGGGATGTCCTTCAACCTGGCACCCCCTCACTGGGACACCCCAGAAGTGCCCCGAGGATGCTGCTCTCATCTCCCTGTGGTCCCAATGCACAACTGTCAGTGAGAGTTAGTGGCTACAACCTCTGGATCCACACGGACTGCTGCCCTCAGCATCATCACGCTCCCCAAGTTTGCAGGAGAGTTCAGGGCAAAGAAGATTGCTGAGAGAGGTCCCCTCAGCTCTGTGGGGCCTTTCTGGGTGCTGGACATGGAGGGGTTAATGGCTGGGACACTGAGTGATGCAGCACTGTCCCCCGTGCCCAGCCCCCACATGCATCTATCTGCACCGAGGAGCAGTCCTGCCAGTAAGGAGTGATCTTATCGCATCCCCTTTATTAAAGCCTGCACATATCTGCCTGGTGATTATTAAAAGTTGGGGGGGGACCCCCCGCTCGGAGGCGCAGACGTGCCGCTGCTGCGAGCACCAGTGTCTCTGCAGATGGAGCGATAGAGCCGCGCCTGCCTGGGCACGCCTCAGGTACCCTGGCCGGGAGGGGGACGGACCCTGCATCCCGAGCATCTCTGCGGTCCTGCCAGCTCCTCTCTCTTCATCCCATCCCCGGGAGTCGGGGCTGGGGGACAAGACCTTGGGACCCCAGTCTGGGAGGTGGCTCTCCAAAGCACAGGGCAGAAGGAGCTGGAATTGTGATTCAAGCTAAATTTTAGATCTAAAAAGCATCCCAGGGTCTTGGCAGGGAAGTGGGAGCTGGTGGGTGCAGCTACCCCTGCACTTCACACGAGCCTCCGTGTACACCTCACCCCTCCATCCCATGCCCCGTGTAAGGCATCCTCCAGTCTGTCCCACACCGCCTCCATGCTGGGCTGCCTGCAGGAGGCTCTGCCTGCCCTGAGCCCTCCCTCTGTGGCGTCCCAGCAACTCACTGCGCATTTGACAGGCCGGAAGGAGAGGAGGTGCTCGGTCCGGTAGCCACTGTTCCCACTCCAGGCCTCCCACCGGGGATAGTCACCCTTCTCCAGGATAAACTGCTGTCCCTGGTACTCAGGGTACTCGAAGCCTACCCAGCTGGAGGGAAGAGGAGGAAAACCCTCAGGGATGTGTGACACAGTCCCCAGGATCAGTCAGGGGTCAGATTCTCCTTCCTGGGCAGGGGACAGAGACATTTTGGCAGATTACAGGTCTGTCACAGATGCTGGGGTCCTGGCTAGCAGCAAATGTCCCTTTTGAAAGTGGAACCCCTCTCCCCAGAGCCACATCATTGCCTCCAACCTGCACCTTGGCTTGGTTATTAAGCTGACTGCCTGATCAGCAGATGGGAAAACACAAGGAGCGCGAGCAGGGAGGTCGTGTGATGAGGCTGTGTCATAGCTGAGGAAGAACCTGGGTGTTCTGGCTGCCTAGCAGCTCCCAACAGTCCCCTGGGAGCAGTGGCTTTGCTGGAGCGGGGTGTGCCAAGGGGCCGCGGGGCTGGCGGGGCACTTACGGGCCAGACTCCACCTTGATGGAGCGGATCTTGCGGAAGCCGCGCTCCATGATGCTGGGGCACTCCATGAGGAATTCGCAGCGCTTGCCCTGGAAGTTCTCCTCCTCCCACACCGTGATCTTGTACTGCCCCAGGGTGTCCATGGCTTCACTGCTGGTCATACGGGTCTCCCGGCTGCTGGCAGAGCCGCACGTATCACCCCAGGGCGGTGCCCACCATCAGCCCCCAGCCGCCCTGCCGCCTGCCGCTGAGCCCGGGATGCCGGTGGTGCTGCCCTGGCACATCCCATGCCACCGGCCCCTTGCCCTCCCAGGCTGGCACGGGGGCATTTCCCATTCCCTTTCCTTCGGTGCTGGGGAATCTCTGTCCGGTGAACCCCGAGTTGCAGGGGGAATTTGCAACGCCCCATCTCTCCGTGTGATGTACCCAGGACTGCCTCAGTTTTTCTTCTCCCGAGTTCCCTGTGACGGCTGCAGGAGTTGTCTGGGTGCAGTGGCGCCGTACCCACTGCTGGGAGGCGGCGGTGACCCCAGCTCAGACT